GGAGGGGAGGAGAGGAGAGGAGAGGAGAGGAGAGGGAGACAGGATATCACTTTCAGGTTATGCTCCTAGTGACCTGCTCCTCCAACTGTGCCCCTCCTTCTAATGGTGCATTTGGCTATGAATTCATCAGTAGATTCATCCACTAATAAGATTAGAGCCCTCATGGTTCAATGACCTCTTTGGACCCCACCTCTGAGCATTGCTAAAGTAGGCATAAAGTCCTCAATACATGAGGCTTTGGGAGATCCTTCATATTTAAACCACAGTAGAAGGAAAAAGGAAGGTCAACTTCCTCCCCAAGCTGTTTCTCAAATTTCTTCAGTGTAAAATACTTGATATTTTATGCCACATTTTGTGGTAGTATGTCCTAAATCCTGTCACAAGCCTTCTTGAGTAGCCTTTGCCCTGCTTCTGCTGGAATATCTGTCACAGTGATAACTGCATTCTGTTGATGGACCTTTTCTCCTCTTAGTCTCACAGCTCCAAAGACAAGAGCCCCTCGTACCCAACCTTTGTCTCTCTGATCCTTCGTGCCTACTGAACTGCTGAACAATCAGATAAATGAAGTCTTCTATATGTCCACAAATCCAGTTAGTGCACTATGCTTTTGAATGACCAAATTCAAATAAATTATTCCTTAGTATGCAAAAAAACTTGTTTTCCTGATGCCAAATATTCATTATCTCACCCTTCAGTACAAATGTGTGAAAAATACCCACTCCCAGCATCATCTCACCCACTAAACTATTTTACTAAATCACTGCCATTATAGATCCATTGATATGTTTCCTGTTTGGTTTGCATTTTTAATCTGTTGTCTGACTCTAGCATGGCTACTTAGCAAAATCCGATCAATTTGTAATTGACAGCCTCTATTGTTTATCTCAGGTAACAAATTCAGCAATCTATAATTTATTGCAATCTATAATTTACTGAAGATAAGTCATCAGGCTGATAGTTAAGATTTCTGTTTAAAACTGAGGCAAAAATAATCTGTGTTGCAGAGCAGAGCCCTCTGTTGCACTTGGAGCTGTTTTCTGTCAGTTGCTAAGATGATAAATGAACATGTCTAAAAATAAACTACTCCGAGGTGACCTGGGGGGGCGATCTTCAAAGGAACTGGTAACAAGAAAATCTTCAGACATGACAAGCGTTAGCTCAGACTGGGGTCCTTGGCCTGCTGCCTGGCGAAGGGGCCAGATTTTTTGTGCAAGACAGTTAAATAGAGACAAGCGTGCCATCGACAGCGGGCACTCTCTCCTGGAGGCGAAGGCAGGCAAATTCAAGCTGCCAACATATTCTTCCTGCAGCTTCACAATTGAGAACAAATTTCAACTACCATAGTAAGACACATTAAGTCCAGACCCTTTAGCAAAAATTAAGGAAGAAAAACTTTCATAATGTTTACAGAATAAATTACAAGTAGGCTTGCCTGGTACAGATCAGCATCATGTAAGTTCACAAAAAGTCAATGTAGTTTCCATCTTTTAAAAATACAAGTTATTAAACTATCTCCATAATTTAAAACCACTTAGTTTAACACTCTCTCAAATCAACTACAAGGGGCCGGGGAGATGGTTCAGTAGAATAAACGCTTGCCTGGCAAGTGCAAGGGCCTGAGTTCAATCCCTGGTTAAAAAAAAAAAAAAAAAAAAAATCACTACAATATACATATGAATTTGTAATTAAGCCTTCCTAATTTTAAACACCACTGATTCTTGCCAACGTGATGGTTAAGAAGCCCTAATAGGGCTTGGGGTATATATAGCTCAGTGGCACAGTACCTGCCTGGCAAGAGCAGGATCTTGAGTTCCATTCCATAACATCAGTAGTAGCAGCAGTAGTAGTAAAAAGAAGAAGCCTTCATAGAAAATGATCATGTTGAGGGGGGTAGCACACAGGTTAGTGAAGAGTTGGGATTCAAATCCATGCTCCAGTGCGTATGTTCTTTACCACCACAGGCCCATACAAATGTCTTTCTCATCTTCCCTTGCACCCTGTCTTGAGTTGTTCATTTGTTTGTTTGTAATAGTTGTTTTCTAGGGCCCTCACACTGAGCTCCACCACCAGCCTTTTTTTTTTTATTTTTTACTTTTGTATTTTGAGATATGGTCTGGCTGAGTCTCTAAGCTGCCCAAGATGAGTTTGAACTTGTGGTCTTCCTGAGCCTTCCAGAGTGCTGGGATTACCAACAGATGCACTGCTTCTGGCCTTATTGGTTTATTCGACTCTCTTTATATTTTTTCTGTGCATAGTCACCCACTTCACATCAGCAGTTTCCTTTCCACTGTTTGATGTACAAATAGTAAAGAATAAGACAATTGGGAAAAACACAGAAGTACACGGCAGATCCTATAAATCAATGTCGTCTGTGATTACTACTTTGTTCACAAGAGGGAACAATACAAGCCTCAAGAGAGTAGATAAATTAAATCATTGTAGAAGCACACTGACCTGAGGAGGGCACAGGAGAGTGGTGCTTCCTCAGCAGAGGAGGAAGCAGGAACACAGCTCGGGCTGTGGGGCAGAGAATGATCAGACTGTTGGACAAGTCATTCGATAGGGGCAGAACAGTGAGCACAAAAGAAGGCTGAGGATGCAGAGGACAGAAGTGCACTGGAGATCAGATCCCTGACCAAGCGGCCAGCCATTCTGGTTCATGGAGAGATGCAGGGATGACCAGTATGAGGACCTTTCTGCTCTCCAAGCAGGCAAGTCCCAGGCAAGCCTGATGAGCTGCTCATCCCATGACCTAACATCTTCGAGGCATGCTTCCCAGTGCACTGATCTCCACAGGCAGGAGGAAAAACTCTGAGACAAGTGAGCAAGTACGAGACCAGGTAATGTGTTACTAGCATAGAATAAGCACTGTGTTGACATTTTAAGACATGGGTTTCAACTGTCGGTGAGTTATTAAATCAAGTTAAAGGTCACAAGCAGTAATTTTTGTTATTAACAGATTAGAACTATTAGAATGTACTCTGCGTGCTAAGGATGAATGTGTACACTTTTGTACAGCTTGCTCTGGACACACACACACATTCATTGTTGTGAATGTATATCATTTATTATTGTTAACTGAGGTTAGAAGTGTGAAATATATTGGCCTGTATCAATCCTAAATGTAGTAAGATTTGAATTAGAAATGTGTCTAATGTGTCTCTAGCTTTATCATCAGCCTACATTTTGCATGATGTGACACCCATGGATCAAAATTATGTTTGTGCAGAACTCCAGGAGAACAGACAGTCCTTCACTACTATGAGACATTAACCAGGCTCCGACTGTCTCGGGGGTCAGGAGTTTATCATCTGGGCATACTCGCAATGTGTAAACCTATTCACTGAGCACTAGTGGGAAAACCTACCCAAACCTGGCCAAAGCGCAACTCTCTCTATTTGTATCAAGCTACCAGTGAAGGAAAGTAAGACAACAGGCAATAAGTCCCTGATACTTTAAAACACAAACACATCGAGGCAGTTGCAGTTGAAAAATTTACCCACTTTTCCAACTACCCTAATTGCCCATGCAAGTGTAGAAAATCGACACTGCCAGAAGTGCAGGACCATAGAGCACATTTCCTGCATGTCAGCACAAATGCCAAATGCCACTGTAGGGCTTGGCTATTTGTTCCATCAGCACAGTCTTTATATTTCTTTAGAAATCAAATATCCATCTCAAAAGTTTGGCTTCAAATTCCCAGCCTGGCCCAGCACACAGCATCTGTACTTGAATGGATAAATCCATGGTATGAGACAGCATTCAGAACAGATTTGTCAGCTGTCTTACAAGGCTTAAATCTGTCTGATACAACATGCATTATTTTTTAATTCAAATCTTTTTTTAATTTAGCTTGTCAATTTGAGCCAGCTGTCACCCTGAAATAGGATGTAGGCTTGTATATAGTAGCTTTGATAGAAAACAAATTTGGGGCAGAAAAAAATTTTATAGTAGAAAAAGAATTGTATTTCATTGTTCAAGACCATGTTAAGGAGTCAAAAACCAAAAAAATCCAAAGTGAAGTAGCGATTTATGTGAATGATTTACATGAATACCTCCGTTTTGTCTTCTCCCTGTTAGGATGACCCTATTCAGATGCTCCTCTCGTGAACACCGCTATCATTAGGCTTTTTTCACTCAACTGTACACTTTCAAAGGAGCAGATGGAGATGTAAAAGCAACCTTTTCAAAACACTGCATGGGGTCAGGGAGATGGCGCAATAGAATAAGTGCTTGCCTGGTAAGCACAAGGGCCTGAGTTCAATCCCTGGTTCTGCCAAAATAAATAAATAAATAAATCTTACTGTTTAAAAAAAAAACAAAACAAACCACTGCATAGTCACTTTCTGAAAATTAAACTTGATTTTCTTATAAAATGCTAGGCACTCCCAAGTCAAAGCCAGGAAGGGTCGTGTCAAATATCATGGAAGCCACAACAAAGCTAGGGTTGACCAAAAATAATGGACAATCACCACATGAGTCATACATACTATACAATTAGGAGAGAGTAGAGAATTAAACAACAGGAGAAGGCACATTAAGTTTTCTGGGTTTCTCCCATGTGTTCAAGGAAAAGGACACCTAATCGATTATCACCGCAATGGCCCTTGACCACAATTTTGAAGCACCAGCACGACTGTTCCCTGTGCTCTCTGCGCATAGCTAAGTTTTAATATTCCCCATTTAAGTAAAGGCAAATCCATCCTTCCCATCATGTACAGCTACAAATCTTGGAGTCATCCCTGATTTCTCCTTCCTCCAATCACACATCCAATCTACTAGAAAGTTGTTCGAACTCTCCCCATATGACCACGCACCCTGGGCCATCTTCACCTCTCACCCGTATTATTGTAAAACCCTTCTAGAAAACTCCCTAAATCTCTATCCCTTGACTCCCTCTGTAATCCATTCTTCACAAGCTGCTCAAGCCATTCACTAAAATACAAGTCAAAGCTGGGCTCAGTGGCACTCACGTGTAATCCCAGCAACTCTGGAGGCTGAGGCAGGAGGATCCTGGAATACTCATAAACCTGGACTACTTAAGGAGAATCTGCCACAAAATTTTAAAAAATAAATAGAAAGGACCTTGGGTGCTGCTCGGTGGCAGCGTTTGCCTAGCATGAGTGAAGCCCAAGGTTCAACCCCTAGTACTACCCTCCAAAAAACCCACAAGTCAAATCACATTACCTCTTGGCATAAGAATTCCTTAATGGTTTTCATAACAGGATAAAAGCCAAAGTTCTTATATTGGCTTCCACAGTTCTACACAACTTGTCCCCTCTAACCTCATTACTTATAAAAAAAAAAAAACAAAACTCATTTCCAGACATGCTCGTCTCCTGGCTGTTCTGCAAACACATCAAGGCACTGCAGCTCAGAGCCCTCGCATCCGGGACCCCCGCTGCCCACTAGCCATGCCCCCTTAGCATCCAAATGTCTTACTTCCTCAAGATCAGTTCAGGACTCATCTCACCAAGGCCTTCTTTGACTACTCCATTCAGAGAAAACTACCACTTGCTTCTCTGCTGTTTGGTCTATGGCCCTATTTTCTTCATATATGCATTAGAATCTAGCATTTAAGTATGCTTCATTGTAATTTCCTTCTCCTTGAGCTCCGACGTGAGCAGAGCTTTTGCTGTAATACACTCCCTGAGTTTTACCAGTGCTGAGGATAGTGACTCACACACAGACCATCCTCAGTAAGTCTGAATAAATGAACAGATTTGGATTAAAAAATGTGCCTACCTCAGCACTTTCCTCTCCTCCCAGGATTATTCTCTATAAAATGCTCAAAGCTTCCCTGGCCTCAGGATTGCCCTCTTCCCACTTCTGTTTATGGCTTTGGTAGAACATTCTGGATGTGCATATTATTGTCACACCTAGATCCTGCCTCCCTTCTCTGCCCTTTTGAACCTTTTACATAACTGACCATCTACCTGTATTGTTAATGCCCAGGTCACGGTTGGATTCAGTCTTTGGGGTCGCCCTCAGTGACCACGGGCTGCTCTTCTGCCAACCATGACCAAGCAGGCCTCTCACTCCCAGGACCTATCAAACTCATTTTTCAGAATAGGGCAGGAAACACTAGCTCTGTGATGCAGCGGGAAGATGGGCTTCTGCCAAGCTAGTGAGCTGACATATTATGTCTGTGGTCTAACATGTAATACATCCAATATACAGTAATTCTCACATTGGGTGGTCAATCCCTGAATTGCTGGAGAATTTGGGATACAAAAGAATAATCTAATACTTATGTCTCCATTACTTTTCTCTCATTGCTGGGACAAAATATCTGATATCCAAAATTAAAGAAAGAAGGGTTTATTTAGCTCACTGGTGGTGGAGGTTTCAGCTGGCTCCAAAGCAGACTGACACGTAGCAGAGGGCAGCACTTCACGGTGGTGGAAAACAGCAGCCCAGTAAGAGTAAGTGGCAGGAGTAGTGGCAATAACGGCCAGAGAGCACAGGTCTGTTTCCCTTATGTTGCATTCAGGCTATCCGCCCCAGGGAGGAAGCAGCTCTTACAGCCATAAACCCAGTAGCACTTACCCTCATAATCCCAGCAACACCCACAACCCATAATCCCAGCACTGGATCATGAATTAAGCACAAACTCTACAAGTCTGCCCCATAACTGCATGAGTCTTTGGGGGGACACCTAGAGACAAACCATAACAACCTAGAAGCTCAAAACTGAGATTCAGACCTCAATGCTGCCTGTCTGGATAGCTCAGGGTCGGCTTTGATGGTGTGTGGGTCCATAGCTGTAGTACAGAAGCTCGCTACAGATAAGATAGGGATGCTCAACCAGTGTTTTCTGGTCAGCCCTCAGCATGTGAGCACGCACACACACACGTGTGCACACAGCTACTTAGCCCCAAGGTCCTTGGCAGATCGGAGCACACTTCCCCCCACACCCCAGTCCCCGCTGCATGATGACCTGTGTAGGAAGGGAGAAGGTGTCAGGCAAGCAGGTGCTTGATTTCTTCACACATCAGGAAATAGGAGAACTGTTCAGTGTCTCCACAAGATCCTCTATGCCTTTGTAAGGCAGGAAAAATCACAGTGTCTTTACACAGCAATTGTAAATTAAAATTTTATGCCCCACCCTCAAATTTAAATAAGGCATTTTTGTTTGCATTTGCTAAGAATCAGGAAGCTCCATGTACATGGCTCCATCATGCTGAGTTTATCTTTATGTTAATTAAATTGAATGAGTACTTACTGAGCCCCTGCGCAGCACTAAATACAGATCTGGATCCTGTGGGACTTGCACAATGATAGAGATAAAGTCTGTTTTCAAAAGCTTGTAATAACTGCCTCACTGCATGGAAGAGTGGGAGAAACACTCGACACTTATAAAAGAATAAGGATGGATATTGGAAGGTGAACCACATGGGGGAGGTTCATGTAGGAGGAGCTCAGGACTAGGACAGTAATGTGTGGACAGGTAGGATGTGAACTGAGAGAGCAGTGTTGAAGAAGGGGGCGACAGACTGTGGACCAGCATAGTTCAGTG